TTGGAGAAGGAAATGGCAACCCACTCCAGTACTCTTGCCTGGAGAATCCCAGGGACGGGGGAGCCTGGTGGGCTGCCGTCTATGGGGTCGCATAGAGTCGGACACGACTGAAGCGACTTAGCAGCAGCAGCAGCAGCAGGGAGTGTGGGACTTTCAACATCTTTGGACATACCAAGTGTAAATGAAACACAAATCAACCAGGTGAATTTTCCAAAAGAAATCTATGTAACAAACCTTGCCAACATTTTAGGGATAAAATTATTCTTAGGGTAAAAAGTAAAACACTACATGTGACCCCAAACTTTGAAAACATCCTTTAAAAACCACATTCTAAATAAACATATCTAAATTTTCACAGGAGAGAGGTAGTGGGAAGTATAAATTGACAAAAGTCACAGTTTGAACTTATTATCAAGGCAAAACAGTTTCCAAAATGAAGTTGCCTTGTAGTTAACTAGAACATTTAAAGACACACAAGCTTTTTTCATCTGTCCAGTCTCTATTTCAGTTCAGTTGCTCAGTCGTGTCCGACTCTTTGCGAACACAAGAATCGCAGGCCTCCCTGTCCATCACCAACTCCCAGAGTTTACTCAAACTCATGTCCATCGAGTCCATGATGCCATACAGCCATCTCATCCTCTGTTGTATATTTAGCAGACTGTTAATAAATTGAAAAATACCCACATTTCTAGGAAAAAAAGAAAGAAATAAAAAAAAGAGTAACTGTAATCCTAAGGAATTCAGAGTTCTCACCCTGGTCTCTCTGAAGAGTTCTTGGCCACCTTTGCTTTGGTGGTGGCTTTCTTCCTGGAGTTTGGACCCAAGCACCTGTTATTTGCCATTTAATCAACTCCAACTAAGATCCCTTTTCCAAAATCAAAATTTATTAGATCACCTCTTCTAAAGTGACTCCTAAATCAAATCTTACCCAAAAGGTGACTGGAAATGAATTGCTGGAAACTAAGAAATTTTGTAAGGGTTTTCCAAAAAGACTCATTTCCTTTCCCCTTAAAAACAAACAGGGGCCACATTTCATAAACAACGCGTTCTTTAAAAGGTGCCTTTTCATCTGCACAAGTCTCAGTAACACACGTGCCTTTCTCTGATGCTTATACCCCTCCAGGACACTTGTGACTCCCATTCACGTCCCCCGGTGGCCCCGAAGTGACGTCAACCCCGGAGAGCCAGGGGTCGTCCAACAGGTGTCCGCCGAGCGCTCTCCAAATGTGAGCGCCGGCCGCGCTCCGTGCCGGGCTCCAAGCTCCCCCGGGGCCGCGCAGGCTCCGGGACTAGGGCCGGGATCCCCTGGCCTCCGCACCCCTCCTCCTCCCGCCTCGCGTCCCCTCCCCTCGCCAAAGCTCGGACTCTCGGGTTGCCCTTATTGTTGGCCGCGTCTGTCACTCTGTGGGCTGGGTGACACGAATGGATGGGTTGGACACACCTTCCAGCCTACTAGGCAAAAAAAAAGCCCGGATCTGCATAGACAGCGGGAGGGACTCCCCTGGGGCCCGCAGAGCCTACGCCGCGGGCCGGGGAAAAGCGCAGCTCCCCCTCCCACATTCACTCCTCCCCGCTTTAAAAAAAACAACGCTCAGCGCAAATAAATAATATCGTCCCCAGCCCGCCAGGGCCCTCGTGGTCCTCGCCTCCTCTGCCGGCTGAGCGCGTTCCAGCGCGGCGGGAGGCGAGCGCGCAGAGGCCCCGGCGCGCATCATGCTCCCCAGCGCCGTGGCGGCCCACGCCGGCGCCTACTGGGACGTGGTGGCTTCCTCCTCGCTCCTGAACTTCCCCGCCGCGCCGGGCTTTGGCAACCTGGGCAAGAGTTTCCTGATCGAGAACTTGCTGCGGGCTGGAGGTGCCCCGCCGCTCGGACTACCACCGCCCCAGCACCACGGCTCGGCAGCGGCTCTCGGCGCTGGCGCGCAGGTCCGGCCCCTGCCGGCCAGCCCGGTTCCCCTCAAGTTGTGCCCGGCGGCAGAACCAGTAAGCCCCGGCGGGGCGCCCTACGGCACCCGTTGGGCGTTTCAAGTGCTCAGCCCCTCGGCGGACGGCGCCCGGCTGCCGGGCCGGGCTCCGGGGGACCCGGACTGTGCCTTCCAGCCACCAGCCCCAGGTGAGCCCCTTCTCCCCTCCCCGGACGCGCGCTGCGCCTCCCCGGGCGCGGGCCCGCCCGCCCCAGTGCTCAGGAATCCGCCCGGGCCTCCAGCTTCCGAGAGCATCTCGAGTGTCAGTGGAGATGCGGCCTCGGGAGTGAGGAGGGTACCACCGCTAATCGTGATGTTCCTCCCCATCCCATCCCACCAGCTTCCTCTTCGCCCCTTCTTTCTACAAGTGGTAGGGCTACCTTGAATTTCAGGCCTTTCTGTAGAAATCCTGAAGTCATCTCGGGCCTTAGCCGAAAGCGCAGCCCCGCTCCCGAGATCTCTGGGCTCGCTGGACCAATTTAACGGGGTTTCCAAAATTCAGTGTCTCTTCTCGCCCGCTACTGTCTCGGAGGCCGAGAGATAGCTGCTCCCTGGAAAGTTCTTGGCTTGAAGAGGCTCACGCGCTCGCTTTGGGGGCTTTTGCCTCTCAGACGTTAGCGTCGGTCCGGGCGGCTGGAGAACACGCGCAAAGATCTTTGGAAAAAGAGTTGAGCCAAGTTTTGGCTTTTTCCACTCATATTTTGGGTCGCTAAGGCGCAAGAAAATCGACACCGGCTTTTTCTTCGGGCTGAGCTAGAACAGTTGAATTGGCTCCTGGAGTAGGAAGTTCACCAAATAAATGAGAATTTACCTCCAAAGGGGCGGTTTTGGTTTGCTTGTTTTAATTCCCGCATAAAACCGGAGTGTTGTAACTGGGAAGAGAATGCGGACAGTTTAATCCTATGTTAGCTAAAACTTACGGAGGGGCTGCAGAAGTTGGCCTTGAAAAGGGGAAAAGCGTTTTAGTGACTCAGTAGCTGAGATCCAGTCGGATTAATTTTTTTTTTTTGGCTGCGTCCTTAGACGATCTTAACTCATTCTCTTAATCCCGATGGGTTTGTCCAGAATGACTAATCGACGCTTTTTCAGCAGATTTCATTGTCCCAGCAAACTGCCGGATCAAATTTATTGCTAATGACTTTATAGAATTGAACATGTTTAAAACCTGTCCTGGTCTTTCAGTTTGAAATGGTTACTAACAGAATGGAACAAATATAATTATATGAGCACCGGTCTCATTCACACAGTGTAAAACCTAAATTCTAAGCAGCCTTTTTGCACCCTGGGAGAGGAACAAATACAGTTAAAGGCAAAGTTTATGTGCCTTGGAAATCTGGGCCACTCTCTCCTTTTTGAAGTATTCGGAAAATTAGAAACGTATATAGCAGCTACGTTTAGACAAGCGCTAGTAAATAATGTCGCATAAAAGTAACATTTTCAAGAAAATTTAGTGATTTCGGTGGCTTCTGATGGCTTGGCATTGTGTTCATATAAGTTACTTTTCAAGGATTCTTAAGTTGCTCTTGATCATGATTGGCTACTCCAAAAAGCTAATTTTAACCTTTGTAGATTTTACAGGTTAGATTTAAGTAAACTAAATGCAAATCAAATGCAGATATTTCAATAACTCTGAAAAATTATTTTGTATACTTACTCATTTCATTCAGAATATTGCAATTGTTCAGTAAAGGGTCTAACTACATTCTTTATATTTTCAAGAACATATTCATTGTGTACACTTATTAAAACATCAAAATGCAAAAATGCTTTTTGGAATAATTGAGAATGTGAGAATTTAAATTTAACTTTGAAGTATTTTAATATAGTTTTAGGCCCATATGTCTCCTAATATTTTATTCAGTCCTTATTGAAGATTTGATGCTTTCTGAGGTTAATTTTTATTTGAACAAATAGCTTTTTATTTTAAAAAATCATTCTTGTAAAGAGTGCATTTAATTTTTGAAACTTGAAAAATATCTTAAGAAGAAAATTAAAACCCTGTAAATTTGTGCCCACGAATATGCTTAAAAACATTTGTTAATAATTTGACAGAGAATACAGTTTTGTGAGCACTGCTCCAGTTTTGTCCTGCCAAATGACAGATTCTTGTCCTGCCAAATGTTGTGGGAATTCTTTTGTACTGTGTAGAATTATGAAGTTATAATGAGTGCTGACAATGTTCGCTATCACCTGAAAATTAGATGAGGATGAAATAGTGATTGACGTTCTGTAAAGAGTAGAAGGGAGATTTAGAAAAGGTACTGTTTTCAGAAGAACAGTATTTCTTTCTGAAACATCAGTGAACAACCAGTTCTGATCTTCTGTGCATTAACTTAGTGGATCACCGAATATGACTTTTAATGATTTCAGTGTATTGATTACCTGTTTTTTTCCCTCAACCTTAATTTGTTGAGTGCACCAGTCTAAATATTGAGTAAGAAAGCCTCAGAGTTGTTTTTAAGTGCATTGGTGAAGGACAGTACCGTTTAACTAGGGGATTTATGCCACTGCATGCATTTCTGCTTCATTATTTCTGTTACCCACTATTAATTATACCATATAGTTCATTCATTCAGCAAATGCTTACTGACTGTCTCCCATGTGTCCAGACTTTGTTCCAGGCCATTGGGATAATCAGGGAACAAAACAGATGACCGTCTCTGCCCCTGTGGAGCTTACAGTCCATGTTCTGTCCTACTTTATGGTTTACCAAGCATTTTCATAATTGTTAGCTGCTTTAATCCTCATAATAGGCCAATTTTTTCTACAATGATTATTCCACTTTCTAACTTTGTTTTTGTCTGAAGTATCAGTTTAAAAACCTGTGATCTTGTGAAAGAGAAAAATATTGCCCCAAATTCTGTGATCTTGTGAAAGAGAAAACTATTGCCCCAAATATTCCTTACACTAGTTTTTCACTGAATAGGAAAAAACTAATGAGGGCTTATGGGATAGCCAATTGCATGTATCTTCATAATAAATCAGATTGGGATGTTATATCTGAGTCCATAGGAAATTGGCCTTTCCCTTCATCTCATATGTGTCTGAAAGATGGTGACAGTTAAACAGTAACACAGATTTACAGATTATGAATGAAATTTAGCTGTCTGTGCTTCATTCCTAAAAATTGGCAAGTCGTTAAGAATTTAGAGTAAAAAAAAGGAACACTCCATAGCTATATGTTGTCAAGTTGTGTATATAGAGTAGTTTAAAAACTTTAAAAATCAGAGCACATTCTCCAAGATTTGTGAGGGGCATGCTTAATGTGATAACAGGTAGTTAGTAGATTCACCTCCAGACATTGTATGTGAAAAAAATCCTGATAATCATCAGAGATCCTTCCCCAGAAGTTCGTTAATGTCATCATTTGGTGGCGATTGTACTAGATTCAGATATCCATGCTTTTGTATATTAAAAAAGGTCTTGAAAGTGTAAAAATCTGGACAATTTAAATTTCTTTTAGTTATGCAACCTATTTTCTTCAAAGTGGAACAAATAGCCTTGCTTTTCAGTGACATTTGTTATTTTGAATGTTTTAGATAATGGTTGAAATAATTTCCTGAATGTAATTTAGTGATTATTAAATCTACTTCTTGTGCTGCATATAAAAGGATTAGAAAGCGATTTTTTATTCTGAAGAGTTGAATTAAACTGTCCTTTTTTAAAAAGTAATTTTGTCCAGTAGGTTGTACCATTTAGTACTACAGGCTTGGAATCAGATCCACCTTATTTTTTCTGGTACCCTGTTAAGTTTCTTATTACTATTAATACCTCATGTGGACTCTGATTTTCTTGTCCACCTCACAGTCCCAGCTACTATTTATTTATTAATCTTGACTCTGTCTTAAACTACCCACACTTGTATTTTGTGTCCCAACTGGTAGTTTTTCCCGCTTTCACTGAGATATAATGAAAGTGTGACATAAAATAGCTTCTCTTACACCTTAGGCACTTTGAGGAGGGAGGAGAAACTGGAACATCTTGTGTTCTAGGTGGGGATTCCAGTCCAGCTGAACATTTCGTGATCTAATTTATGAAGCTAGAGTTTGTTATTTATTTTAGCTAACGCTATGCTCTAGCTTTGTTTTGGCAAATTAAAATCACAGAATCTTGACTGTTGATAATGCTGACCCAGAACCAAGACAAAGACAGTGGGGGATCCAGAAAAGGATAATGATGGGGCCCATGCTTGTAGTTCCTTGCTCAGACCATCACCCTAAAAACATCCTTTGGTGGAATTGTAGATAATACCCAACAATATTCTTATTACACTTGTATTTTTTAAATAAGTTGCTTAACATATCTTTGGACTTATATTAACATATTAACAACTTTTGCATAGTTTATAAGGAATCAGCTCTGAACAATTACTATATGGTCCCAAACTTCATAAACTTCTTCAGGTTCAGGAAGGTTTTGCAGTGAAGAGGACCAGTTGGACTAATAGACAGTCTTTTTACTTCCAGTTTTGGATTGAGAAAACCACACTGCCTCTAAATAATGTCTTGAGTTGGAATTATAGAATAGTAGCAATTTATGTGCATCTTACTTGCCTCTGGCATTAGTATCTGTCCCTCTCCAAGTCACTAAAATATGCTTCTCTACTTTAACAGCAAGAAATCTCAATCTGTTCACATGTATTGAAGCTTTATTACTGAGATTTAATAATAAAACAGGAGTAAATCCGGGAGGCAAGTAGGAACATTTCAGAATTTTCCCTTTACCTCTTAACTCATGTTAGGGATTTGAGGATTATTTTAAGAGGCACAGTGGTTTGAATGCCCAGAAAATTGTATACAGATTTAAGCAGAAGTGATTGGAGGATCTAGAGAGTTCAGAGTCATCAGGACGCCAAAGGATGCCAAATGTTGTTATATGTTGTAGGTGTGTGACACCGTATGTTCTGGACAGTTTAAAAGAATTGTCAACCGTGAATTTAGGTGTGTTTGTTTGCCATCAGCGTGGCTCAGATACTGAAGCCAACACTGTACATTAGATTCCGTTGTATTCCTCTTGGAGTGTGCCATCTCCTTCCTGTGCCCATCAGAAATAGTCTCTTTTTTCTGTAAGAAAACATCTCATGGTTAGTTTTGTCATTGGACAGTGAGAAAAATTGTAGCAACTCGAAAGTAAGGGAACCAATATAGGT